CTTTCGATGACTTCGCCATTAACGAGACCACTGGCGTTGTAACCGTGTCCCGGAAATTGGACTACGACGAGAAGAATACATATCACGTGGAAGTCATCGCGTTGGATAAAGGTAAAGATAATTATTGTCGCTTTCTATTTTCCGACGGCACGTAGCGCGGCGCGCGATAATTGGGACTTTATATCTGTTGCACAAAGATGAAAAGAAGATTGAATGAAATTCTTTATTTCGTAAGAAGTAGCTTAGCGTTATTTAAAATTGCGACAGAGTTTACTCCGAGCTTCTTTACACGATGCACGTTTCGCTTTAGGAACACCGAGTTTAACTGGAACGACGACGTTGATGATCGAAGTGGAGAATAGCAACGACAAAGCCCCGTATTTTACGCCTGAGACGCAACGAGCTGAAGTTACGGAAGACACGCCAATCGGCACCGTTTTCGCAACATTGAAAGCCACCGATCCGGACAGCACGAATCTCGAAGCTTTGAACTTCGCCATTTCCGAGCCAATCACTGCTATTGACAGAAACGGCCAGCGAGTGAACGACAGCAAGTCTTTTAAGGTACGAGAGATATTTTTTTATTCGTTTTTCTTTTTGAAAATCTTGCAACACACACAACGAGCCTGCACTTTCGTAAATAGAAATATGAAAAAGTTATTCTCAAATATTATAAAACGAATTATTATATATTTTAAGCATATCTGTCATAAAATATAAGAATATATATTCTTATGAAGAGAACAATTTTATAATTGCGTTTCAATTTCGTGTCACTAATTATGCATTTATAAAAAAGAGACGCGTTTAACCAATTTTATATTCTATGAAAAATGTAATTATTGTCTTTAAAATATTTTTTTATTTTTAACACGTATCTTTTACCATTTAAACGTTATACATGAATACATTTACTCGTTTTTTTACAGGATTTCTTCGCAGTCGATCGTGCTACCGGACAAGTCTCCGTCGTTCGAGCTCTGGATCGTGACGTAGCGGCCACAGTAAGCGTCACGATCGTCGTGAGCGACACTACGGCACCCACATTACAGCAAGGACGAGGTGAAAAGCATTCCCGAAAGATGATACGAAATATATCGTTATTAATTATGTTTTATAAAATACAATGATTTAATTCATTACAATTTGACTGAATGCGCTGTGATTGAGAAGTGTGTCTGAATATTTTCAACAGGTAAACTGGTGGTCACTATTATCGACGTGAATCATATGGCGCCGGAGTTCTTGAAGCCGTGGACCCGAGAAAATCCTCGATATCTGATAGAGATGCAAGAGGAGCAACCCACTGGCGCCGTCGTGGGCGCTTTCACGGCGATGGATGCTGATAGTAACATAGCGGGATACGCCATCGATCCGCCGAGCCCTTACTTCAATATTGATAATATTACCGGTAAGTTGCTCATCCCGAATCCCATGTCAGTCTTGTGTAAGCGTGTTTTGAAAGGTACCGCCGAAAACCAATTTGCAACGGTTTGACATATTATTAAAGCAGCTCTTCACTGTCGTGAGCGATATATCAAAGGAATCTCGAGATCTGGAATCTTTAGCATCTTCTTTTTTAATATATCGATTTATATGAAGCATTATGACATCCTTTCCGCAACGGGAAAATAAACAAGTCGCAAAATTATCATTTTCGCTTGCCCGATCATTAACAAATCCATTATAGCGCGATCTTTTATGCCATATTGTGAAATCTAATCTTTCTTTTTGAAAGCTTTTCCGAGAGTCGCGCATTTACTTACAGGAATCGTAAGAACCAGCCAAGTAATTGATTACGAAGAAACGAAGCAACTAGAATTCACAGTAATCGCTTATGACTCCGGAGTGCCCCAGCTTTCCGCGACTGCGAAAGTCACCGTTACCGTGATCAACGTGAATGATCAAGATCCGAAATTCGAGAAGGAGCTGTACAATGCGACGGTGAAAGAGAACTCTCCACCTGGCACTCGTATTACCGTCGTGAAAGCCACGGACGGCGATGAGGGAGTTTTCGGTGATATCAGTTACAATATAATTGGCGACCAAGCTGGTGACTTCAATATTGGTAATCTAACAAAAGCAAATTATTAACGCGATAATAATGTATGAAGTGAAACTAAATAATTATATAGTTTATACTATCTAGTTTTCTTTCTGTTTTTCTTTACTTATTTCAATCTTGTTCGCGATGTACAAAAATCTGCATGATAAACGTTTTCTAACGATCTTATCTTTACACAATTTTTAGGGCGCCAAACCGGAGAAATCACCGTGGGCGCTGCCACGGTTCTCGACAGAGAGATGACGCCGGAAATCACTATAACGGTGATGGCCAGCGACGGCAGCGCCCGTGCCAATTCTCGACGAAGCACCACCGTGCCGGTGGTTGTCAAGTTAATTGACGTGAATGATAACAGACCGATATTTTCGCAACACAGCTACAGAGCGTCCGTAGCGGAGAATTTATCCGTAAATCCGCCGGCACCTATCTTGCAGGTATTACTGTCAGAAACAAAGCACTGAACTATCTTAAGCAACCCTGAAGTGATAATTTACAAAGTAATATTGAGTTTTTTAAACTATACAATTAAACTTCTTAATCCAGAAAAGGTTTAAAAATAATTTATACAACACTTAAGGTCGATTTTTCTGTAGAAATAATGTTGTTGGAAATTTACGTTTTAATTTGCAGTCTTCAATTTTTAATTTTTTAAATCCTAAGATTTTTTATATCGGAAACAATCAATTTTTTTTTAAGTTTAATGACAAAAAAATGTTTTCTTAAGGTACGAGCTGTAGATCAAGACGAAGGAACAAACGGCGAGGTCTGGTATACAATCATCAATGGAAATGAAAATGAGTCGTTTTCGTTAAACCGCGAGACCGGCATCTTGTATCCTGCGGCTGCTCTCCTCGGCAGAGCCGGTTCTTATAGAATTGAAGTCGAGGCACGCGATGGCGCCGGAAGTGGTCCACATTCGGACAAATGTTATGTCGACATAAGAGTTACTCCCGTGAATCAACATAAGCCGCAATTTGTAATGCCGGAATTGACGAATGCAACCGTAGAAGTACCAGAGGTATATAATACCTGCAAAAATATCTTGTTAAACGAAATTTGCAGGTTTTTCAGCCAAAATTTTTCGAAGAAATTGATATTAAAATAGATAAAATACAAATGTAAATTGTATAAAATTAAAATATCAGATTTAAACTTTATTTTGCTAATAAACGTCAATTTTCAGAATGCGGGTGTCCCCAATTATCTAATATTAACTGTAAAAGCGCGTGATAGAGATCCCGGCGACAATGGCCGTGTTAGCTATCACTTGAAGGTCGGAAATAGGAACGTTCAGGAAACCGAGGAATTCTCTATAAATCAAGAGACAGGCGAGCTTCGATCGAAAATTATCCTCGATCGTGAAATCAAGAGCAAATTTGAAGTGAGTAATATATCACTTTTTTATGGAAACAATTGGGATACTATGTAAACTCTATTTCAGCTTGTTCTTGTGGCGGCTGATCATGGCAGTCCTACAGCGTACGAGACACTACGCTTATTGACAGTTCAATTGGTCGACACGAACGATAATGTGCCGCAGTTTTACGAGGAGTACAATTTCCACGTGTCAGAGAATCGACCGAAGGATTATTTTATCGGTAAAGTGACGGCAGAAGACAAAGACGAAGGCAGGCACGCCAAAGTTTACTATTACATAGAAGCAGGTAAATATGCAAACATTCTGTAGACGATAACGTTGTAAATAAAACGGCTGAAACGTAATTTTCTCATAATTATACGTTCCACATGAAATAGAGCTAATTTTCGACTGTAAATATTTGATAGAAAAATTAGCTTCTTTCCGTAATATTTTAATTTTGGAAAATAAATATTCCAAAATCTAAAACTCAATATCTTACAAATGTATTGCTCATTCTTTCAGGAAACGAAGGATACGCTTTTTACATGGACAAATCCGACGGTAGTATCTACGCAAACAAGTCGTTCGATCGCGAAACGAGAGATAAGTATGTTCTTTCCATCCTTGCGTCCAATGATCCTGATCTCTACATCAATCCTGCGCAATCCGGTCGCCCGCTAACTCACCATCCGGAGCACGGACACGTGAACGTAACAATATATGTGCTGGATGAAAATGACAATCCGCCGATCTTCGAGCGCAACGATTATTACGCCGGGGTGAATTCCATGGCGAATGTAAATGACTTCGTAACTAAGGTAACGGCGTCCGACCTGGACGTCGGTGACAACGGCACTCTCCATTATTACGTTGCCAGCGCAAATCTTTACAAATACGGCTCGGAAAAGCCAAGTGGCTCGATAGTTCCGAGCCCGTTCAACGTTACGCAGGACGGTAAACTCGTTACGAGTGGATATATGGCGGAATACAATCAGGACAGATTTATCGTCGAAGTAATTGCCAAGGAGACAGCCATTCCGGAAAGATACGCGTTGACAAGAGTTCATGTAAGTTTCTTGTGACAAATGCTGTAAATTAATTTAATTTTTAGCAGTTATGTTACTGTTATTAATATCGCATTATATTAATAATTTAATAGCATAGAAATATATATACAATATTTGTTTGGTGAATTTTTGCAACTTTCTAAATCAAATTTCATTTTTTTTAAGGTATGGGTGTTTGAACCATCTCAATTAATACGAGTCATACTATCCCGGCCGCCAGAGGAGGTGAATAGCGTGCGCGACGAGATCGTTTCGGAGTTATCCAACGCCACGCAAAGCCGGGTTGTAGTAGATGATATTAGGTATCACGTTGACGCTTCTGGACATATCCGCAGAGAATGGTAATTGCACATATACAAAATGATTCAAAACAATCTGGTGTCCTTAAAATTCATATTCTTGAGTGATTTTTCCTTTTACAAATCTTGGTTTTCGAGTTATAATTGAAAATAGTTCGCCACTCACACACGAGCAGGCAGGGGTGGTGCAACGCATGTCATGAGACTATCAAGTGTTACATCATAGAAAATTTCAAGGACATCAGATTGTTTTGAATTACCCTATATGATATTATTTTTCCTCTCAAAATCGACATCGATTTATACAATGCATATTGCACGTAATTTATTTTATAGGTGTGACATGTATTTGCACGTTGTCGAACCGAAGACACAAACCATCGCGCCAATTCCTCACGTTCTTAAAGTCATTGATGCAAAGTATGATTTCTTGAAGCACTACTATGCTGGATTTGCCATCGAAAATGTTGTGGTGAGTTTTTATCATATTTTAAATTACAATGTAAAATTATTATAGTATTATAAATATAAATGATTACTTTATAATTGCAAACGCTATAAATCATCTTTATAAGAAATTATCTTCTCTTAAAAATGGCATAGTATCAGTATCTTAATGTTAAAATATACACTTCATTCATTTTTGTATTTTAGAATTTTATATCATATTGTTTGGTAGACCTAGAACTTTATTGTAATTGAAATCTTATATTTTAAAGGAAAAAATAGTGTTTCACACAAAGAAATGGCCTGAAATATTAAAATGTATATTTGATTCATTTTTATATCTTAGAATCTTATATCTGATATATCATAATAAAATATATCGCAATAAAAATGTACATTCTAAAATTCTAACCAGATTCATGATATAAGATTCTATTTATTTTATTCCTTATGCCTTAGAATCTTATATCATATCAATATAATATAAGATTCTAATACATAAAAATGGATAAACTGTACATTTTAACATTAAAGTACATTTTATTCATTTTTATGCTTTAGAATCTTTTATATTATAACATTTGGTACGCCTGAAACTTTACATTTTTTTTTTACTGCAATGCATTGAAATTTTATATTTTAAAGAAAGAAACGGTCTAAAATGTTAATCAGCTGATATTGAAAAATTGATTATTATAAATATTACACAATGTTGTGTTCTAGTTGTGAAAAATAACTGAAACATTGACAAAATGTGTTTAATTTACCTACTTTATTCCAGCCGGCATATGCTGGAGTCCAAGAAGAACCGTTTGATCCTGCCCTTGCTGCTTTAATAGCTCTTTTAGTCGTCTTGCTCGTAGGAGCGGTCACTTTTACGGTAGTTTGTTGCTGCTTACGCCACTGGTAAGAAAACCGGACTCTAAATACGTTTTTACTTTGATATACTTTTATTTACGCATTTGATATTTCAGGGTGATAACTGTGCCAAATGATATACGTAAGAAGGACGGACTGATTAAGAAACAGATCATCGATGAATTGAATACGACAGAGAACCCATTATGGATTGAGCAGTAAGTGTCGAAGTAGATTCACCATTGCGTGCAGCGCATTACAAGGTCTTTCTTTGATTGTAGAAAATTGAAACTCTACGAAGAGCAGGAGTTAACGATGCAAGTGTTCAGCGAGCCCGAGGGCGGTCTCGGCGGCGAGAGACGCGGCAGTGGGGTGAGCGTCGGTATGGGTGACACGTCTCAAGATAATACTTACGCCACAATACAGCATCCATTACCTACGAATAGGCATCGTCCGACTACGCCAGACTACACGACGCTCCCAGGAAATCATAATGTACGTCGAGTGAAAAACCAGACTTGACTTTGATTAGCGATTTTATTTTTAGATAAAATAATTTTAATTGTGATGAAATATATAAATGTTCTGGAAATCGTATGTCAATTTCATGATTGGAAAATAATCGTCTCATGCGTTCAGATATAGCCTGTTTATTTGTAATTATTTCTCCTCCTTTGTTTCAAGAATTAACTATACAAAAAGTATTAATCACCATTAATTGTGATTAACGTTAATAAGCATTAGTGCGACTGGGTGTGGATTGTGAAATCTAATTGTGGAATACGTCATTTTCCCTTGTTTCAGTTATACGAATCGGCAATGGGTTTCCAAGGATCAACATTCCAGCCTTCTCCGAACGTGATGCCACAACTAACGCTCGATCGCGACGGCCAGCCCCAATTTGTTTCAGGACTAGTATAAATCTCTCTGATATGCGGGTGCTCTCAGCCCCCTCCTCCTTTCCCTTTCTATCTCTAAATAAGCTCCGTCGCCGTACGTTGTACCTCTTTGTCCGCGGCTCTTTTATATTGCACGCGCCTCTTCGGAGCGTACTTCGGGCGACTCGCATGCACACACCTCTTTGACAATAACCGGGTTGAATATGGGTTTGTCCTGCGAGTAGACGCGTGTACGAGAAGAGCTACACGGCATACGACTTTCGCGAGATCCGCCCTCTCACTTGCGTGACTACTTTGCTATTTTCAGTTCATACTCTTCCGCGAGAGCTTGCGAAGGACTCAAGATGAAGAGTGACGACGAACGACACAGTCAATATTACTGGAGTAATTAATCCCTGTAGCTGGTGTGTGCATGTATATATGTGTGCGTTGCCAACCTGGGGTCCCATCTGACTCTTCACCGTTAGATCTACTTTTTAGGAGAATCAAAAAAAAAAAAAAAAAAGAAAAAAGAAAGAAGAATATACACTAGGTAAAATAGGCATTGTGAGATAACTCGACACGACCGAATCTTGGCACGACAGATATATGTATATAAATGAATGTGTAGATTCCGTCCAGCCCAGTTTACGTATTGTTTTCCTCATTAGTTTAGGTATTTATATGTTTCAGAGATACGTACGTGCGTTCCGACCGTGAACGCATCATGTACGGACATTTTTACAACGATCACTGCCACGTTTTCGGCATCGATGAGATGCGATTACTATATTCGCTGAACAAATAATTGAGCCATTGTTGCTAAGCACACAACAGGACATTCGTAATCGAGATAGCGCGTAATTCTCTAAGTTTTTTTTTTTACCGTATTTCGCTTTAGCGTATTTATTTAAGGTAAATGTGTCTTGAGAACGACTGATATATTTTCTTCCCGATTAAACTGTGATTTGATTGCGCCCACGTATGAGTGCAATGATTTAATTCGTAATGGTTTTGCACGAGTCGCTGGTGATGGGCGGACATAGTCATATCATAGTTAGATGAAGTGATGACGTTCGCGGCGAATTCCGATGTCATTACGGCGAAACGATCTTGCCTTCGAGAAATGTCAACTTTGCACTTTTAATAGCGACTCCACAAACCGTCCTCGGCTGACAAAGAGCACAAATCGTGATTTTCGAGAATTCCTCGCAGACGCCAATTGCCGTAAAAAAAAAAAAAAAAACGTATCGCTACTCGATAACAGCAGTAACTTAACTTTACAATCGAGTTATTTCTAAGAACATTTAATGTAAAACTATTATCGGTATCATGATATTACTAGATGGTTATGAATATTCCAGTTAGCAAAAATATCTGTTTATTAATTACAAATTTATTGTAATATTGTAACATATTTTATGTAAGTCATTAATAAAAAATATTCGTACACCAAACTGCAAAGTATTCTCTACGATTTCTCTGCGAAGTGTGTGAGATACTTTAACTGACTTTTTTAAAATAACTTTGGATTTATATTGTTTTCACTTTTTCCACAAGTGTTTAAAGTCTCTTGTAAATTTCGTTTTTGGATGCCTTCATTCTTTGATTTTGATGTATAATCTAATGTCTCAACTACTGCTTCTGGTTGATCAACCCATAATTTATATTCTTTTTTCGTTGGAAATCGTTTAGTATTCTTACAAGTCAGACATGTCCATTTGACACCCTTTATAGGTTTAGATGTTAATCTGACCCTAGCTGTCTCTCCAGGTATAAGTGGAGTTTGACAACATTTACATATTGTCCTCTTCAAATTTGGTTCTCTAAAAAATGAATTATTTACATTAAATAAGTCCTATAAATCATACTTTTATTTTAGAAAGACCAACAACTTATTTCAAAACTTACATGCGTAATACTGCTTTTTTGGCACAACCCAGCATATTATTACCATAATAAGATGCTGCAACTCTGTTCTTTAATGCTATCAAATGACTAGCCTATAACAAAATATTTATTTTAAATAACAATAGCAATATCAATCTTTATTTTATAAAATTAGAGATAACAATCAAATAAAAGTTAACTATATTGAAAGATAATAAATTTCATGCCTGATATTTACCTGGTATAAATAATTCATTCGTTCAAAAATATCTTTATGCTGGCAACATTTGTTCTTATTTCCTGTAAACATAAAGTTTTATAACATATATATTCAAAAATATTTCCGCAATATTCAACTCACCCATCACGAAACGAATAAATTGTTGATTATTCCAATCTAGTTTATCGATCAGTAATTGGAAAAAAATTGTACCGTTGAATGTAAAGAATTAATACATTAATTTTAAGGTTAAATTCGTTTGGATTGGGTTAAGTTAGGTCAGTTTCCATACCGTGATGCCAGAATGCAGACGTGGCTCACACGCCATAATCCGCGTTTACATTCTAGCATCTTTTCCATATTCTTTATAGCAAACACTACTTTTGTTAATTGTTTTTATTCTTTTGATGTTTTGTTACAAAATTTCAAAATTATAAAATTATTACAAAAATATGTATAAAAATTCTTAGGCTATTTTTTTCTTAGACTTTTTTACATGCCTTACTCACATATGTGAGCAGAAAATGTATAAATATTAATATTTGAGAAATTTAAACATAAGTATTTATACCTTTTATTTTGTTACTATATTTAACGCATACTTTTATAATAATACGTAACATTCTTATTATAATATAATTGACTAGATATATCTTTTTTGTCCAAAAATGTTACTAAGATTTGAAATTGGTTCACTGCATTAACATTATTTCCTTTACATCATAAAATGTTTTAGATAATTTAAATCACACAAACATAATTTTATCAATCATACAATTATACAAATGTGTTGCCTACAAATGATCATTTTTTAATAAAATGATCATTTTTTAATAAAATGATCTGCTTGAAGAACTGACTTTAGACTCTTGATTACTGGTGTAGCAATACTTGTAATAGGTGGATTTTTCTGATTCATATTGGAAATGTCTGTTTCCTTGGACTTAGCCTTGCATTTCCATTTCATATCAGGTGTGAATTCAACTTCTACTTCAGATGTCTCCTCAACTTTTAAAGTATCATAATTTATATGGTCTTCATCATTTCTAAAAACATCATAATTCTATTTTTGTAATACATGCATAAAATTGCAAATATTTAGAAACAATTTCTTTATGAATATATTTTATTAATTCTTCTAATATCAAATATATAAAATAGATTACCGATGACTCTTTTCTAGAACATTGTCATTTTCTTCATAATGATAGCCATATTCTGCTAGAACAATGTCTAAATTATCACACTGCTCCTTTAAATTCTTATACATTTCTTCCGACTTTTCCAAAAAACAATCCATCTCTTTCAATGATGGTTCTAATTCCGATTGAAACTTCTCCACTGCATTCTATTATAATTAGATATACAATCTATGAGATCGATTGCTCCAGAATTTATTTATAATATAATATTACTTATAATATAATATTACTCAACTATAATAATATCATAACAATACAATATCATTTAATATTAATATAATAAATAAATAAATGTAATTTAATAACTTTTTTTTCACAGAAATAGATTGTTAATATTTTCTTACATATAAATAATAACAGAATCTTTAGGGTACTCACATCAGTGCTGTCCAAAGCTTCGCTAACCTCCTCCAGATACGCATTTATCGTAGCAGTACGTTCAGCATAACCGCCAATTAGTAGATGCGGCGTATTCCAGGTTTCAGCGAGGCTATTGATACCCTCGTCAATCTTACACGATTTATGCTTCAATCGATCGAAATAATTTAAACGCGAAATGAATGATTTTTCATTCATGTTTGTTACGCAGCAACTTGACAACTTCACTTTGAAAGTTCTCGACTAGTTTTAATCGACGACAAACGGCACGAAACGGCTGAACAAAAATCCGTCTAGTTCTTTAAGAAATAACTTGTAACGGTCGGAGCACCGAGTTCGCTCGTTCAAAATGTCCGTTGAGCGTAATTGTTCAAACCACGTGCTCCGATTGGCTACCGACTGTAATATTAGTGTAATTAAGGCACTAGATATGTAGGTATTCTCATCCGCCATTTTGGTTCCTATTAGATGGAGAATTATAGCGTATACAGAGTGACACTTATAGCGTTTTCGAATAAACGGGGTTTGAACGATCTAGGGTTGATCAATCACTATTTTACTATAAATGCAAGTCTTTCATTGGTGGAGAGGTTGCAATGACGTCATTAACCAATCTTGGGTCGTTCAAATCCTGTATAATCAAAAACGCTATTAAAGACTGCCCACTAAGTACATAGCGTTATTCCTTGCCAAAAAATGAGTCGAAAAAAGTCCTGAATCATTTTTAATAATTGACGTGTTACACATGTACGCTATACTATACTATATATGCTATAATTCTCCATCTAGTAGGAACCAAAATGGCGGATAAGAATACCTACATATCTAGTGCCTTAAACTTGGTATCCAAGATCTGTGGCGACATCGTGTGGCAACGGGGCCGGGAATAACTAATCCATACAATAGTGTGCGTGTCAAAGGTGCGTGGTGTTTAGTGCATGATATCGGTTTGAATCTTTTACAATAATTTAAATATATAAAAATGGTGTTATATTGTTTTATGGAAGGTTGCGAATCGAGGAAATATAAAAAAGGGAAAATAAATGACTTCAGCCTGCAGTTTTATGGGTCCAAGGACCTACCTAGACAAACTTGCATAGTCGCATAAACATATATATAAAAAAATTGATCGGTCTATGAACAAATGCATAAGGAAATGGACCTATCAATTTCCTTATGCATATGTTTATGCGACTATGGACCGTTTCAACCAACGTGGTTTAAAAAATTAAACGCTAGTGACATTCGGTTATCTTAGGCCGGCGTCACATAAAACCCGTAATCCGTAATCCGCACCGAAAGTCTGCAAAAGTTACTAGGTATTTCGTCCGTAACGTTACGTATGTTTTTATCTCCTTGTGTCCCATGGAGCCGTAAATACAGTCGTAACGGTAGTACTATTTTTTATTTAACAAATTATAATTATTTATTTGTATTTTATTCATAAGAAAACTACAAAATATATTATAATTTTAACAAAAGTTTTAATTAAATCGTCAAATTTAGTTAAATAAATAAAATTAAATAAAGCATTACTAGTAATAACTAGTAACTTGTAGTAACTTTTACGGAAATTTCATGAAATTACGGCTCCATGGGACACAAGGAGATAAAAACACACGTAACGTTATGGACGAAATACCTAGTAACTTTTGTGGACTTTCGGTGCGGATTACGGATTACGGGCTGTATGTGACGGCACCCTTAATTTAACCTGAATATTGATTTCTGCCAATTATTTAACGGCATTAAAATATCTGTAAACTGAGTTTAAGTTAAACGGTCGATCTCGACCGTTTAAAGTAATTAAACGCCGGTTTTTAGAAATGTTACTAGCAATACTCTATTTTTATTTCTATACATCATATCATCAAATATGTATCCTGACCTTTATTGAATATTATCTTGTCTAAACTCAAACTCAACACTTATTGATAGTGTTTGACACGTTACAGATACGTTAAAAATAATTGTAAAAAATTATTATTATTATTTTGATGATATAATAGCGTGTTTTAATCCTTTGTGGTCTTCAGATTTTGATAATAAAAATATATTAAAAAATTTGAACAAAGAAGAATAGATTTAAACAGCGAGTTAATTACTTTGGAACATTAGATGACGTCGAATTTAAAATGCGATTTAGATTAAGTAAAGATTTGGTATAATTAATATTTGAACATATTAGAGGAGGATTAGAATTTTTGATAAATAAGTAATTCTTTAGTATTATTTTATAATTATAATTACAAGTCTAAATTATATATATATATATATATATTTCCTAAAACTAATGCAGTGTCTCCTATAAAGCAATTATTATTTACACTATCCAGATAACAAAATGCCCGCACAGTGCTATCATGGTGCTCGCACATTGTGCGGATTATCCGTGTATACGTAACGTAATATTATTATTTATATTACGTCATTGTTATTAAATAATTATATACGTAATAAAATATTATTATTACGTAATTATTATACGTAACGTAATACTATAAATTTTAGCGTATTGAAGTGAATAGGAGCATGTTGAGGCATGCGACGCGAACAAACTTTTGATCAAAGTTGCCCTAAGTTTTAATCACAGACGTAGTAAGATAGACTGCTCACGACGTTCGTAGAGTGTTGAGAGTTTAGAAAGAGTAAAGTGGAGTAAAGGCCAATATCCACGATGCTAGAAATCGGTCCGAGATCACGATCCGAAAAACATATGGCCAATTAAATTGCCGATTTTCCATAAAAAATGCAAGTTGATTGGTTATACATTTCTTTTACCGATTTCTAGCATCGTGGACATTGCCCTTAAAAAGAATTTGAATAGAATCTTTTTCTCTATCACACATACTCTTTCTAGCTGAGGTAAAAGGAGATAGCTATTCTATTGAAATTGTGCATTCTTTTAGCGTTTTCGAATAAACGGGGTTTGAACGATCTAGGGTTGATCAATCACTATTTTACTATAAATGCAAGTCTTTCATTGGTGGAGAGGTTGCAATGACGTCATTAACCAATCTTGGGTCGTTCAAATCCTGTATAATCGAAAACGCTATTTATACGCGCTCCGCTTAGGTGTAGAGATAGAGAAGAGAACGTGCAGTCTATACTTACTACGTCTATGGTTATAACTGTAGTGTCCATTCTGGCGTTGTAACGTTTAATTAGAAAAACAAATATGTCTTTTTTGTACAATTTGCCGAACGAGCTACTGATAGTAATTTTCAGATTCTGTGATGTATATACTTTATCACAGATTAGTATGGTATGCAAACAATTTTGTCACGTATCATATATGATATTAAATGAAAAAGCTAACCAGTTGCTTGTCACGAATCAGGTGTCGGAAAAATTTAGTGAACGGTAAGTGAAATAAAGCTTAATCTTTATTTGTATTTCTATTTATTCTAGAATTTTCTGTTCAACATGATTAAACAATTTTTTTGATAATTTTCCGTTTAATTTACGCCGCGTGAGTTGTATGGCCTGTGATCGTGAGCTCCACGTATCGAGTTCATTGAACTATATAACATACTGGAAAGCGTACAAGTTGAGATTTTGCTCAATAACGTCGAGTCGAAGGAGAAAGTTGCCAAGTGGTTATATTTATTTTGTGTCGCACGTTTATCTAAATGGAAAAATAATTATAATCTCTATAGCAGATGATGCCATCTTAGCTAAAAACATACATCTGCATATGCAGTACGCAGTAAAGTTGCGAATGCTTAACAGAGACGTTTGAAATGTTTGTTACTTATGATAGTTTTCCACCAAGAGACACAAGCGACAAAAAAGTATTATTCTCTCTGTTGCTCATTGAATATCGAACAAAGACAGAGTGATACTTGTGTCGATTTGTGTCAACTTGTGTTCTTTGCTGGAAAACATACATTAAAATCACCTTGTACTCTAAGAAAATGTAGGCGGAATGGATAGTAGTACGTTAGTAAGACAGAGAGAGCGATACCTCATAGCAATGGCTTTTGTCCCACTGGCTGGTGTCAACTCGAGACAAAAGAGCGCTTATTCCAGTTAATATATAGTTCAATGAGTACAACTGTCGAAATCTGGTAATATATTATTCAGAATCAAGTATCCATATCAAATAATACTGATCAGCCAATAATATTATTCTGTAAGAGATATATTATGCAATTTTAAATATATACTAATTCTGAATTAGGTAACTTTTTTGACTAATTCTAAATGGATTTGTAGCAATATGCTAGCAATTATTCGCTATTTTAATATAAACTTAAATTTTATATTAACAGAGATGATGCAATGGCATTACTAATCACTTCCAAATTAATCCAAATTTGTACTAGTTAAAAATATTAATAGAAAAAGTGTTCTTGAATAACAAAAATTTTTTTTAATATAATGCAATATTTGTTAGATAAAACATTTCATATATTACTCCCAAATTGGAAATTTTTGTCGTGTCTTTAGTTATGCAAAACTTGATTTAATTTTTTAACCATGTCTTTTTAAAATACATTTTAATATTTACATATTTTCAGAAGATAATGTATTCTCGATCCTAGCATACACAAAGTAATTTCCCACCCAACAACGTAACTGTTACGTACAAGACATGTCACATTGCAGTTATATTGAGTGAGAAATTATACCATTAATGTTATGTTACTGTTACTTTGTGTTTGCTTGGATTTTACATAAAATCCCATTGAAAAACATACGTTTTATTTTTTTACAGATGTAAACCACTATTATCTTCGTATATCTCTAAATTTATTACGCATTGCAACTGGAATAATGGAATATATGACGAACGTAAAGTATGTGAAATACCTTTAACGTTTACTGGTCGTAACAGTGGCCTACAAATGACTAAAAATGCGGTTGTGTTTCACGGTAGTGAGAGTCTTATGGCTTATAACCGCACAAAGAACGGTACTTTAGAAAAGAAGGTTGTCGAAAATTGCAACTCTATTATTGCAGACATTACTTATTGCAATGACGTAATTATAAGTAGCCATCGGTGAGTATTTATTTATACACTTTGGGCTTGTTCGTTTTAGCTACACTGGGGCTGCTCTGGGTCTGCTCTACACAGGATAATACAGGACAGATAAATAGTTTGTCCTGTATTATCT